GGGGGGCCCTCGTGCGCGCTTCCCGGCCGATCGTGTTCGGTTCGCCATCTGTCAAGCCATGTGTGTTTGCATTTGTAGCTGCAGCGTCCTCTGGCTACTGAGAGCTTCCTCGGGGGAGGGGTGGGCAGGGTTCATTTTATTTCGCCTCGCCTGCCCCCCAGCTCAGTAAAGTGACCCCGCCAGGGCATCTGGGGGGAGGGATCCAAGCCCTCCAGCGGCGCCTCATGCGGGGGTGGAACCCGCCCAGATGCGAGGCTGCTGCCGGCTGGAAGGAGCAGCTGGTATGTGACCGTACCGCTGGGGCTTCTTGCACACGTTGCATGCTGCGCTTCCCGCGCCACAGGGGCCAGGAGTCCCGGCACAGGGCTGGGTCCTGCGGCAAAGGCAGCTGTGTTTCAGCAGCGGCGTGGCACGCAAGCGCGGGCTAATGCCTTAGGGGCTGAGCAGATGCGAGGCTGCTGCCGGCTGGAAGGAGCAGCTGGTATGTGACCGTACCGCTGGGGCTTCTTGCACACGTTGCATGCTGCGCTTCCCGCGCCACAGGGGCCAGGAGTCCCGGCACAGGGCTGGGTCCTGCGGCAAAGGCAGCTGTGTTTCAGCAGCGGCGTGGCACGCAAGCGCGGGCTAATGCCTTAGGGGCTGAGGGGCGGGGCCTCGCACCCTTCCTCCCCATCGAATTCACTTAACAGCCAGCAAACAGAGCGATGGGGCAGCCCTGCTGGGCCCTTTAACCTTAACTCTGCCCCTGGAGCTGGCAGCCGCAGGAAGCAGACATGAGCCTGTCGGGCGTGGGGGTCCTGCAGAGCTTCTCTCGTCTGCCTGCCCACGGTGCCCTTTGCGGTGCCAGGCGGGGGCACTGGCCACGTGACCCCTCCTCGTGCCCTGGAGGGACAGTGGGCGGCAGATGCTCCCTGAGCCCAGCCCTGAGCAGATGAGGTCCGTTGGGGGGCCCAGGCCAGAGCTGAGCAGCAGGAGAAGCGTCCGGTTGTGCTGGTGTTCGAGGGGGCTGCAGCGCAGGCGCCCTTTGTCCCTGAGCCCAGCCCTGAGCAGATGAGGTCCGTTGGGGGGCCCAGGCCAGAGCTGAGCAGCAGGAGAAGCGTCCGGTTGTGCTGGTGTTCGAGGGGGCTGCAGCGCAGGCGCCCTTTGTTGAAATGAGCCCAGATTGCCACGCGGTAGAGCAAGCGCAGAGTGTCCGAGCGCTTGGGTGCGCCTGCGGAGAGCTAGTCCCAGCAGCTCGGCCCCCGGCT